TAGGTGAATTCAAGGAAAATTGTTTACAGCTAAACGAGAGGCGGCTTTTCAAGTGCGGTGATAATTACGACCAGTATGGTATTCCTCCATAAAACATTGATTTAATGGAACCCTTTATTTGTGACAGACTGGCCTAGCAGATAAAGTGAAATAATCACAAAATGGTAATTCAGAAGTTAGGAATTAATGCTTCTCTGCTATAAGGAGATAAACCGATCAAGTACGCCTGCATTTCATTCAAAATTACCTCTTAATCTTACAAGGGAAGATGCACAGTCGCAGTGACAACTTGAGTAAGACTTTATAACTCAAATATATCAAATAGGTTGAAAAGGTAAATCTAAGGTCTAAATTTTTAAATGCTCGCCAGCCACCGTTTCTAGCGTCAGTGATATAGAAGGTTTTTCAAGTCATCACTGCGACCTTGTATCATTTCCTTGTTGACACGAGTGGAAGAAGAAGGCTGAATGAATGAGGTTTGGTGAAATTAAGTATATGCACTATTACACCTAAGAAGCGCTGTACTAATGTACTAACGAATTACCGACATCATAATCTTTTAAAAAATGAACGCAAAACTCACTACATTAAGGCTGCATTTGCTAGCACTTTTGGAATTCTCTGAAGGAGAAGGCCCGTCATCAGCATCTCCACGAAACATAGCAAAGTAGACTACTTTACCTTGATAGCCTGTAATTTGTGCTTTATTGAAAGCATCTCTTCTATGCAAATAGGCAAGTAAATGCAGAAATTAATTGTAAGTTCTATATTCAACCGCTAAATTTCACCTTTATCATCATTTGCTTCCGGTTTTGTAATGAATGTGATGATTGCCGCTACCACTGAACCGCATATGAGCAGTACGATAAACAGCATATTTATGCAATTCATAGTACGTCCTGAAAATTCTCCAAGTAGATGCATCAGTCTTATGACATATTCCTGTGAATATCTTTACCTATACATGCTCCACTTCTACTTTGTGCATCCAAACCTCTTCTAGGTGCGTCAAACTTTTCATCAAAATCTATGTATGACCTAGGAGAGCGACCGCCATAACCGCTCCGACGATCTCCCCACATACAGAATGGTCGGCGCTCTACAGTTTTGCACTTTCACTGGAATTAATCAGATTAGAAGTCTCAGTTTCAGTCTTGCTTCGCAATCGGATTGTAAAGAACGTGCAATCACACGTATTTCAATTTGTTGCATGTAAATTTAAAATTAAGCATATAACATGGTGTACAATAGCACATTGAAACATGATAGCCTCTACTGTGAGTAGGTACAATGTGGTATTAAATCTTAGATCTTTTGAGCCAAAATAAGTTATCTTTTCTGCTACAGCTGATATGGCAACCAAATTTGGCTACTATCGCTATTTGTTAATCTTGTGTCAGCCGATAGTTTTTTTCTTTTGCTGCTCTAGTCATATGGCTTTATTGAAATGCTAATTTTTCATGCCGTGGCATTCCATGCCTACCGCACAACCAAGGCGATTTTGCATTGGATAAATCGGGCTAGAATGCTTGCATAACCCAAAACCAATCATAATTTCTGAAAAAAAAAACGTAAACTCATCTAGAAACCCTTCGCAACGAAAGAACCTCATTCATCGCATTTTATAACATTCTTCAAAATGGGTATTTTTTAAACGAGGCAGCGGTAATAGGTTCCTTATGGTGAATGCATTGATATGTCACGCTAGAGTAGCATTTTAGTGTGCGGTAGCATAAGGTAAGAAATTAGTAAAGCGATCCGTCATTTGCCTACTAGGGTTATTCGATGTAATCTGTATCTGATCACAAAAAATTGTGTTTCAACAAAGTACTGCAGCGCTTGAAACTTGGACGTTACTAGCACATTTCTTCTAGAGTGAACCTTTTTTCTAGGCGAAGCTTATATATTGGGTGTACAACTTAATTCGGTCCGTTTGCAAAAGATGGCGTTAGGTGCTATAAATGGTTGAGGCGACATCTGGTTTTTGGTGTATCGTGAAGTGTCAACATCTGTGAAAAAATAATGTTTACAAGCCTT